ATTGCCCCCAACAATCTGGGTCCTCATTTTATCCACCTCAGAAGGATGGAAGGCTGAATCAAGCCGGTAAGAATAGACAGGCTATACCCTTTCTTTCCATTAAGATGTTAGTTAGGATCTGGAAAACCCATCAACTTAGTGAACATTATGGAGCAATATTAATCTTATAGATATTATGAAATCAGCAGTGAAATTTATCACCTGGTTCATCACAAAAGCTAGTGCCACATCTCCACTGTGTGCATATACACTTCACTAGATAAACACCAAGTCTGTATCTTTTTAAGTTAAAAAAAGGGAAGGGGAAACTGACCTTGCTGCCAGTTGTTGCATGTAAAGAAATATATTCTCCTATGTTTAACCTAAATGAGAGTGGTTTGCATTCAAAAGGGAGCGACCTGGTCCAAATATATTTCTGCATCAGTTGTAACATGTTCTAGCCACTGCATCATCGACAGTCTCAGATGCTAGATCAAACAACCACAGATATATAATGGGGAGACAGAGCAAAAACTAATGTAACAATATGTCCACCTTCTCAGTAAAACATTTAATATAATTTATTTGTTCCCAGGCTCTGTACATAACTCGACCTGTCATGAAACCTAAGTATTTAAGGCAGAACACAGCCTGTGTTTTTTATTGTTTTTATTTATCCTGCATCAATTTCCTTCCCAATTTTATTTATCCTGCATCAATTCCCACCAATTTCTTCCTCTGTTTTGCAATGTGCCAAATTTTACATGAAATTTAGAAAGTCAACAAATCTATTCTCTTGTTTTATGGAAATTATGATAGGTATCAATGACACATTGTAAATGAAAAAAACAACCATGATAGCTTCAAATTTTGATTTTCTGAGGGGTATAGATATTATGGCAAAGCACAAGTGCATTTAAATGGGGATATAATGGATTGCCATTTCTCTTCCACATGAGGAAGTGCATGAAATGAAGTGTGAGGAGTCATTGATATTATTGCTTGCTGGATAAATAATTAATTTTATGGTTTCTGAAATATGT